ATGATTAGGTATCATGTGTTTAGTTTTCTGTTCCTGACACCAATCAATAATTTTATGATAAACTTACAATAAGTCGTTTCTAAGACTATTGAGCCTAGGTTTTTGTTTAAGTACCTCTTGTCGACAAGAAATATTTGTAGTCTTGAGAGAATTGTTTCTGTTCACGAGGTTCGAATCCATATTTTGCGATAAGACAGTCGAGGACACTGATATTCACTAACGACCGAAAGGTTGCCAATGTTATATTATCTGGTGTTAGTCTTGATCAAGTCCTATTGATGGAATTCGATCGACACTACGAAATAGACAAACATGTCATTGCTCACTACTCGATGAACAGTCAATTAATTAATGTTGTTTGTCTGCCTAATCTAAATTTTGTAGCATGTTGTTTAATTAAAGCCTTTTAAACTGCGAATCAAGTGTTATCACTTGCTCAATTTTAAATTGCATTATATTAAGAGCTTACTGAGGAGTTTTTCATTAAAATAAATATTCGATCATTGATATCATTTGACTAGTCAATAAATTGTAGAATGTGCAGAGAGTCTTTAGATTTTAGATATACAGTTGAGTTTATTCATGATTTCAATTTCTATACAGTTATTATTTGACAATATGACATTGACTTCATTTGGTAAGCACGATCTGATCAGGTATGATACATAAAAAACCATCCTCAGAACTGATTTAAATTAATTAAATATAAACTAAAGTTTCATTGAAATCAAATATTTCATAACAAAAGAGGGTTTTGTGAAGACTGTAGTAATTTAATAGTTGAGTTCATGAGTTAATTAAAGCTAGACCACCACAGAAAACCTGGAAGCACTGAACGAAAGTTTCATCCTAGTACGGGACTCCTCAACAGTGCACGTCTACGATCCCACAGGCAAGACTCGAACACTAAACCTCTAGACCACTGAGCCGACCAGCATCCATTGGTACTAATGTCTAATTTCAACCGACCCATGAATTCAACTTTTAGAAAGTTACCGCAATCTCCACAAACTCCATTTAGTTAATTATTTATTTGACAAACGTGGAGAATAGATTAGGTCATGGAAGTGCGCTGCTGAAGAGTCCCATACCAGGGCGAAACGGTTATTCAATCCTTTTATGTTTTCAATGGTGGGCTAACATTAATCCATTCATGATATCAATGAAAACTTTTGGTGATGAATTTTTTTAATTCTTCTTAAGCAGAGATTAAATTAAATCTTGTTTCTATATAAATTCACAATTAGTAGATGTCAAAAATACTTAGTTAACACAAAATTGAGAGTATAATTTTAATAATTATTACCGTTGAACAGGACAGACCAAAAGTAATGTTGAATATCCTTATAAAAAATTCATATTATCCTTCACTCGATTTAACCTTACAAAACATATAGTCTTACTTATAACAACTTAGTATAAACACACCTCACTTTGTCACTGAAGGTCTTTAGCCAAACGACACCCAAATAAATCAACAAACCCCATTTTCAATAATATCATTTACACTAAACTGTTTAAACCTGAAACTTTTTATCAGTCTGTATGATATGGATACCCAGCCCATCGACTCAAACAAATTGCGGACTAGCATAGATTGAGAAAGAAGGTGAACTTGACTTGGGTTACCCACACATTATATAATTCATAAGTAAATTTGATAACTAACAAAGTATCTTAAGTTAATTCAAATTTGAGTAGAAGTATTAGCTCATAGTAATTATCATAGGTATATGGCATAAAAGTTCTACTCTTAGTTGATTATCTGACAAATGAAATGGAAGTAATTAACTGAAAAAAATCACCTATTTTTTGAATAGAACTAATCTATCAGAAGGGGTTTTGTGGATATCATAGTAGTTTTAATAGTTGAAATCATGGGTCAATTGAAGTTAAACCATCATGGGAAATCTACAGGCACTGGACAGGTGTCTCGTCGTATTGTGAGGCTCATCAACGGTGCGCATACACGATCCCGAGACTTGAACCAAGGACCTATCAGTCCCTCGCGCGAGCGCTTAACCACTAGACCACTGAATTAATCCATTTCAATTATTCAAATAAATTGGTTTATAACTGGAACTTTTAATAACCGGACAATAAATGATTTTAATTATAAATGTTTATTTCATTTCCCTATCTTTTAGCTTTGCATGAATAAAATAATTTATGAATTAAGAAATATTTCTAAATAAAAGACAATGATCATGAGTACTTAAATGTTTAGTTTAGTCGTCAAAATATACATTGTGATTATTATTATTACTAAAATACCGTAATAAAACACTACACATTTCCTGTGGTTACTACTATAAATATATATGGGATATTTAATACTTTCCATACCATATGGTAGACTTTGAGGTTGAACATTTTACAAATGGTGCCTTACATAAATATACGGATGAAATATTTATAATTATATATGCCCATTGTTATTTTAATTATCACTGAAGTTAATAATCTAACAGATGTAAAGTAAGATTTTATTAGAATTGAAGTGCATGTGAATAACTACAACAATTTGATCTGATTAAGCCACATTTATAAACAGTTAACCATTTTAATGATGATCACCAAAATGTTGAGTATGTAAATAAAACATAATTCATTGACAAATAAAAAAGATAATTAGATGAATGTTTTAGTTTGTATCATGTCTGTAACCATGTATCTTGACTAACAATCTTACTGAGGTAGGCAATTAATTATCTACATTAATACTGGATATCAAAATGAATATGAAGCTGAGATTAATATCGGTTCATTTATCCTTTCATCATTAGTAATAAAATAATAGGCCTATAAATACAAAGTAATTATTATACTTCTCGACAAAGTTCAAATTTAAAACTATCATTACCAACATGAATATTAAACTGAAGTCGAGGACAGGAATTTTAGGAGAATTCCTCATTATTCAACGGTAATGAAATTTCTTGGTGGTTCTCATCAAGGACAAACAAGGGATGAGCCGTCATTGAAAACCATGGAGGTTAGGTGCTTCATTCTAATATGATATTTCTTAGTAGTGTACACTAACAAGAATCCCGTACTAGGTAGAAACAGATATACAGTGGCCTCTGGTTTTCAAATGTGTCCTAAAATGTACGATATTATGATGAAAATCACATTCAAAATAATCAAATCTATATAATAGTGCATTCTAGGTCACACATTTTATGACAATTATATGGACTTCAAAGTTTTTTGAAACGAAACATGTATAGCGACATTTAGATGTAAGATACAGTGGTTGAAAATCAAATGTCATATTCAAGAACCTACCGCCACTTTTTCTGTTAGTTAGTAATACCGTTTATAACTGTCTCTGATTTGAAATAATTGGAAGAAGTAGGAAAATTGCTATATGACTAAGTTCGTGCATATAAGTTAAAACTCGATCTGTGTTCATGCATCCTTGGAAAGCTTCACAGTCGCATTGAAATTCTGAAATAAAATCTTTTAGAGCTGCTTCCTACAGTACAAACAAATAATGAATCATAACTATGTATTAAAATAGGTTATATCTCATTCTTCAGTATTGATGAAGACTTACCTAATAGCTTATTGAGTATGTTTACTAAGTCAAGTTGCTAATCATCACAGCTTTTCATTATGGTTTGAAATATAGTTAAAATACTATATTTAGTCCAAGTGTTTTGTATACAAGAAAGATTGTATTATAAAAATGTTAAAAAGCTTTAATCCATTCATTGAAATATATTTGATATTAGAATTAAGATTTTTGAAAGACATAAATATTCAGTCAGTCAACTACAACGTAGGACCAGGCACATATGTGCATCGGTCCAAGTTGCCATACCTCATTAACACAATAAGATGGACACCGGATTCATAAAAGTAGTTAATTCAGAGGTGGTAATATATAAAAGAAAGATTGCAATAAGGATATAGTACAGGAAGAAAGAATTAGTTCGTAGAAAGAAAGATATGAAGCGATTTTAATCTCTTAGTTTAAGGAAAGACAGAGAGTGTATACACCGACGCCATTGTGATCGATTCTGAGCCATCCCATCAAGAGTCTCTAACCATTAGTTACGATAGTCATGCGGACCCCAACCAAGTAGTCTGCATCTCCCAACATGGCTCAGACTAGAAGTTAGTGACTTCAAGCACTGATGCCACGTTTTGGTTTGACCGTCTCTAACTTTCTTCCAATATTCAGCGAATCTATGTATTTCTACTATAAGATTTTGTGAGGATTGTAGAGTCTCATAGTTTTTATAGTGAACCTATCTTAAAAAGATAACTAAAGAAAACCATGGTGCACTGAACAGTTGCTTCATTTTAGTACATTACTCCTCAGGGGTCCTCATACACAATCGCACTGAAGATCATACCCGGAAACTTTAGTTCTTACGGTGGGGAATTAAATTTAGTCCGTTAGCATAATATCGTGGAACGATTGCATTCAACAATCTCTAAATACCCCTATAGTAATGAAATACATGCGTTTACTAGTGAACGATTTCAAGCAGAAATCTCGTGAGTTTTATTAGAAAGCCACATTCAGTTGAGCTCATCTGTTTTGACTGCAAGAAAAATATCACTAACATTTATAAATGGTAGTTGTACAACCCAGTGGTACCTGAAAGTCGATTTCCAGTTCACTCGTGGTTGGTCAACACTTATAAGTCTTATATTACGGTTAAACATCTATGCTTCATGATCTTCAATAGTTATCTAAACAAAATCAGTTCGTAATATAAACCATAAAGATCAATTCCTGTTTTGAAACTTGTATAAGTTTAAGATTTCAGATCAGATTTATCCGAGTATTGAATTCATGGAAATTCATAAGAATAAATTAATTATGTAAATGTAGATATTATTGATTTATGTGTAACTCAATTGTCATCTATTATCATTATTTTTTGTAATTCTAACTTAGAAATAATCAATTTTATTACTCCATCAGAATTTTATGAAAATCGATTGTTTATTAAACTATTTTTTCTTTTTTTTGTTGTTTTCAGATCAAAAAACGTCAAGTTCAAATGGATTCCGGTAAGTTTCATATAATCTTTTATTCTATTTAAAATGAAAGTACATTTTCTGTGATGATTTATTTATTTATTTGATTCAATTCATACATGAAATAGAACTTTTTAATTCTTATGATCTAAGTTAATATATATGGTTGAAAACAAGATCAAGAATTGTTTTCAAAGATTTAAAAAAAATCTTGAATCTAGTAACAATGTAATTAAAAATAATTATCTTTATTGAAAATATAATTTATTGAATACTTTTTTTTTTCAATAGTTGAAATCATGAGTCAATTGAAGCTAGACTATCATGGAAAACCTAGAAGAACTGGACGGTCGTTTCATCCTAGTATGGGACTACTATTATCAGTCCCGCGCGCGAGACTGGGTTCGAATTTCACGAGGGTCGGGATCGTAGATACGCACTGCTGAGGAGTCTCATACTAGGACGAAACAGTCGTCCAGTGCTTCCAGGTTTTCCATGGTGGTCTAGCTTCAATTGACTCATGAGTTCAACTATTGAAATTACTAAAATCCCAAAAAAAACATTTTTGACATTTTTTTGTTTGAAAAATTAATCATTGCTCTATAAAAAAGAAGTATGATATCAGTGTCCCTAAAATCTCGAATAATCAGATCATGCTATAAGATCTTTTAAATATCATTGATATTTTCTTCTTTTTAAGATTGAACGTATTCTTTAAATCCACTGGTGAGACTTTAATTTACGAACTTCCTTTAAGTGACGCTAAACTAACCTTGAGAGTATTCACTTAATAACTAGGACAAAATGAGAGTTATAAACCTGTGTAAGGAATTGGAATTATGATTTACAGTTGATGATTAAGGTCAGGAATTAGATTCAGAATTTTCATCACGAACTGACATCAACTATAATGCCAAAACTTTATTTATCCAAATGGATAAATGAATTTCGCGCCAAAACTCAAGACTAATTATCATAAATCCGATTGGTCTGTCTATAAATTATAGTCTCACCAATCCTCTTTATATATATTCGATTTCTGACGAATAAATAATTAACTGAAGTACATGATGTACATCAAATTTGTAATTTGTAGAAATTTGATACTTTGTAATTTGTGATTGTTAACAATAATATCATATGTTTAGAACATACAAAGAGGCCTTGAACATACACCTGAAAGTAACCGATTTTGTGTAACACTGATAATTTATACAATATCGAGTTTGAACTAAGTAAATCTCTATCATCATGCACTGAATACGATACTTAACCCAGAATGTTTCAGACTATAACTCTTATCTAGGAGGAAATGCTAATTTATTCAAATGTAAATGATCGTTCAGTAAAAGTAATCATAGTGTAATGAACGAGAATACAGGTGGGGAAAACCAAATGCATTTCAACACAAAATTACAGAGTACTTTTATAAAATGTGAAAACCACACGTTCAATACTTCATTTGAAAATTCTCCATTAATTGTCTCAAGCTCCATTGTTCCTTTATTGCCACAATAATTACTCTCTGTTCCTGTTCTCTTCGACTCGATCTTCCCAACCTTCTGTTGACAGGCCTTCCACTTGTGATTGGAGTTAAGTAGCATACACCACAAAAAGACATAGTGTAGTGGCTGATCCAATGTCGAGCCCACATAGCTTATTCTAGCTTCCGGACAAGCCAGTTTATCATTCTTCTCAAGTTACATTTTGACCTTGTTAACTATCCACTTATCAACCTTGACTGCTTTTATGTGAGCGTAGGTGTGTACACTTCTTATCCTACTCATCACATGTCTGCAGCTTATTTTTGTGTGATTATAAATATCGATCAACGCTCAAGTAAATGGAGTTCGCTAACACGCTTTCTTCACGGCGCGTCCTTTTGTTTCGCTTCGCTCTCTCTTCTTCCCTTTTTTCGCTACGTCTCTCTGATTGTCTGTTAGGATCACGACTGACAAAAATATACGTATTCGAGATCCGTTCTCTTATTTGAATTATTTAATTCTGTTATCCACCAATGTGATTTAAGTTAATAATTATATACGAGGATAGTCAGAATGTATATTTTGACAGCAATCATTCAATAACGATCAATTGTACGATCTAATTAGAGTTAGACCACGGGCCACAAAATTGGCACGGTATTAGAAACCCAGTAAATCTGAATATATTTACCTTACTGATTCACCTCTTCAGATAGGAATATTAATCCTTAGTGTAGATCTCATTTGAGCTGTGAATCAACAAAATACATATTCTGTCTTAACTGAACTGATGTGCCACATGGAATTTAAGTTTATGTCACAATTTGACCGAGATATTCAATCGATGATTATACTCCTGTAGGACTGACGTCTATCAAAATCAACCATCTTACAGTAAACAATGTCATTTTGTATGATCATTAAGGGTGATTAGTCATTTTATCTATCATACTGTCTGCCAAATGTTTTTTAGCACTTCAATTGTGAAAACATGTTTTACCACAGAGAAATAGAAGAACAAGCAAGTGCTAAATATAATCAATAAAAACTAAAAGCAAACAAATAAGTAACTATTTTAAAGATAAAATCGCAACTTGTATCATAAAAACAGAGTACTAAATGAACGACGCGTTCTTGATGGAGTTTTGTTCTCTGAGCTGGATGCTTTGGTCATGGAGCTTTCACCGTTCTTCTGAACGACATCATCGGCACAAACTTCAGATAGAAGTGAAGTGTTCGAATTTCTCCATATGCGTTTCACAGCTTGTTCTGTACAACTCGATGTTGAATGGTTCTTACTTACTTACTTACGCCTGTTACTCCTCGTGAAGGAGCATATGCCGCTCACCAGCATTCTATATCCAACCCTGTCTTGCGTAATCCTTTCCAGCTCTTTCCAGTTGTTACTCATCCTTTTCATATCTGCTTCTATTTCCCGACGTAATGTGTTCTTTGGCCTTCCTCTTTTCTGCTTCCCATCAGGATTCCAAGCTGTGGCTCGCCTCGTGATGTAGTTTGATGATTGGCGTAGTGTATTTCCTACCCAATTCCATCGTCTTTTCCTAATGTCCACTTCAGCTGGAAGCTGGTTTGTTCTCTCCCAGAGAAGGCTGTTGTTGATGGTATCCGGCCAATGGATGTTGAGTATCTTGCGAAGACAACTATTTATAAATACTTGTACCTTCTTGATGGTGGTTGTTGTAGATCTCAAAGTTTCAGCTCCATACAGTAGAACTGTCTTGACGTTCGTATTGAAAATTCTGACTGTGATATTGGTTGAAAATTGTTTTGAGTTCCATATGTTCTTCAATTGTAGGAATGTGGCTGTGGCTTTGAAAATCCTTACCTTTACGTCTGCATCTGAACCTCCTTGTTCATCGGTGATGCTTCCCAGGTATGTGAAGGATTCTACATCTTCCAGAGTTTCGCCATCAAGAGTGATTGGATTGCTGTTTTCCGCGTTGTACTTGAGGACCTTGGTCTTCTCCTTGTGTATATTGAGGCCTACTGGTGCAGAGACAGCCTGCTGATACACTGGTTGTCTTTATCTGCATTTGTCCATGTGTATGCGATAGGAGGGTCAGGTCATCTGCGAAGTCCATATCGTATAATTTTTTCTGAGCTGTTTATTGTATGCCGTGTTTACCCTCAGATGTCGAGGTCTTCATAATCCAGTCGACCACCAGAAGAAAGAGGAAAGGAGAGAGTAGACAGCCTTGTCTGACCCCGGTCCTTACTTGGAATGCATATGTCAGCTGTCCTCCATGCACAACCTTGCACTGTAGTACGTCATATGAGTTCTGGATAATATTGACAATCTTCTCAGGTACTCTGTAGTGTCGAAGAAGTTCCCATAACGTCCTCCTATCTACACTGTCAAATGACTTTTCATAATCAATGAAGTTGATGTACATTGAAGAGTTCCACTCAATTGATTGTTCGACGATGATCCGTAGTGTCGCAATTCGGTCTATGCACGACCGATCCTTACGCAATCCAGCCTGTTGATCTCGAAGTTGGACGTCTACTGCGTCTTTCATCTGGTTGAACAACACTCTGTTAAAGACGTTCCGTGGTACCGACAGTAGTGCGATGCCTCTGTAGTTCTCACATTTGCTCAAATCGCCTCTCTTTGGAGTCTTAGTGAAGTGTCGTTCCTTCCAGTCCATCTGCACTTGTTCCTCCTCCCAAATCTTTTTGAATAGAAGGTAAAGCATGTTGGTAGTTACTTCGATGTCTGACTTCAGTGCTTCAGCTGGTATGTTGTCGGGTCCTGCTGCTTTCTCGCTCTTGATTTGTCTGATGGCCATTATGATTTCTTCCTTCGTTTGTGGATTGACATCTATGGGAAGATCTGTGTGTGCTGCTTCGATGTCCGGTGGATTCATTGGAGCCGGCCTATTCGAGAGTTCCTCGAAGTATCCTACCCATCTGTTCCGCTGTTGTTGAATTTCAGTGATTGGCCTGCCTTCTTTCTCTTTGACCGGTCTCTCTGGTTTACTATATTTCCCTGCTAGTTTCTTCGTTGTATCGTAAGGCTGTTTCATATTTCTGTCTCTTGCAGCTTTTTCCGCCGTCATTGCTAGTTTTTCCACGTATTTCTTCTTGTTGGCTCTAATGCTCTTCTTCAACTGCTTGTTTGCTTCTATGTACTCAGCTTGTCCTCGGACTTTCTCTGCTCGTGTTCGGCTGTTGTTAATTGCTGTCTTATTGTTTTTCCTTTCTTTGATCCTGTCCAGTGTTTCTATAGAGATTCATTCCTTATGATGATGCTTCTTTAGGCTCAAAACCTCTTGACACGTTGAAGTTAATGCTTCTTTGATACCTTTCTAGTTGTCCTCCATAGTAGTTTCTTCTTCCTCCTTAGGTCCTGTAGGGCTTGGAACCTGTTGTTGAAAGCCATCTTGAATTCATTGAGTTTGTTGGTATCTCGAAGGAAGGCTGTATTGAACCTTTGCGGAGCTGTTTGTCCAGTTGTCCAGTTCTTTAGCTTCAGTTTTGAATTGGCCACAACTAAGTGGTTATCTGAAGCTATTTCATCTCCTCTCC